GCCAAGAGAGAAAGAGAGGCAGAGAGCCACTTCCCTGGAAGAGGCAGCAGCAGCTGCTGTTGGCGGCGCTGTTAGAGGCGCTCTTCAAGGACAGGCTGGGAGCAAACTCCACTCTCAGGCATCGCTCGGTGGTGGCTCAGGCGCTCGGTGAAAAGGGCCTGCAGTGTGCCTTGCTCGCCAGCTCTCCCCCAAGACAGTGCCTCTTGCACCCTCCATCCAGAACAGCAGCCTGCCAGCTGGCAGACAGGCAGATGGAGGGTGCAAGAGGCGCTGGCTTGGGAGAGAGCCGGCGAGCAAGGCGAGGCTTTTTTTGACTTGGGGACATGTGGGCGCTTCGCGGGGGAGGCAGGATGGGGGCCACAAACTATTGTCCGGCGCACCGCAAATGGTCCGTGTTCCGCATATTTGAGACCCCTGCTCTAGGTGGTTATGGAGAGATTGTGGAAGGTGACAGCTGAATGCCATTAATTAACAATATGCTGGTCACAGAATTGGGTACATGACTAAGTATGAAACAGGCATGCGCCGGAAACCTTGTCTGTTAGCCTTGGAGAGTTTCATGATTCATCTGTGACAACCAATAGGATTTTGGCCATTTTTTCGGGATAGTATTGGAGTAAATTAAGGACAAGGATGTATCAATACGGTTGCAGCCGTACATGAATTGCTGGCTGTGTCAGCTAAAGAAAATTGATTAGTTGTTTGCTAAACTTATAGCTGGCTGGGTGACCATAATTCAGAATTGACTTGATGGCATTCAATTATTATAATATATTATTAGACTGCTTTTCAGCATAAAAAATAACAACGCAATATACTCAAATTTGTGCCCATCTGGTTTTCAATTATCTTTACATTCACTTGCAATAAAGGGGACCCTTCAATTCACTGTAACTTCTAACAAGAAAAAAAAAGACAGAACATCTGTTCTGGTCACCTGCAGTTCTTGGCTGTACTTCCTTGGCAGAACATTTTCAGATTAAAGAATGGCCACGTCTTTTGTTGCTGTTTTTTTTAATGGTTTTTGATTATCAGGATTGTCTCATACTGCAAAATGTTAATTGTAGCCATGTGAGTTTCTAGACTTCTGGTTTATATTAACTTTGAAAACCTGAAATGAAAAATATTTCAGATTGCAACAGATGTTTAATAGCTTTGAAAATCACTTTTGTTGTTGTTGCAAAATGTGTATAGAACTGACAACGTGTAGACACTGGCCCTGGCCCGCGGCATGTATTTGGAAAAAATGTAACATCTATAGGATATTGGTTCTAAGAAATTATGTTTAGTGCATCCATGTTAGGATTTGCAACAATCCTCTTAAAACAGGTGAAGGTTTGTTCCTGAAGTTATTGCAGGAATAAATAATTGCTCTTCTCTAGTTTTCACATTGTTTCCTAAATAGCAAGCTGACACTGCAGTGTATTCGGACCTACTGAGATGAAACTTTTTTTCTGTTGGTATCAGCCTACTGTTGTTTTAGAGAGAAGGTGGAAACATGCTCCTTATCAGATCTATTATACATAGGTCTTATTTGAATGCCACACTAAGCCATAGCTTAGCATAGGATTTTCCAGTTTAACTGCCCTCTAGAGGTTGCAGACAGTAATAGATGGACATACCTTCCCCGGGGATTATGGGAGTTGTAGTCTGGCACATCAGAACTGGGGAAGACTGTTTACAGAGGAGCTATATCACACCTCAGGTTCACATACTACTTCTGGTGTGACTGCAAGAAGGAGACTAGAAATGTTCACTTCAATTTTGGATTAACCGCAGTTTAGTTTTGTTCCCAAATTCTTCACTGTGATTAGTTTCTAACGATGACTGATTGAAACAAGCCATCTTCATAAATTGCTGTTTGAATTTGCCTTCTTCCTACTAACTGCTGTTTCAGTTTTTCACAATTTAGTGTTCAAATGACATAGTCAACTGGTTAATAAGGAAAAGCTTCTAAACTTGCACCTCCTGAAGATCAGGGAGTTTATAGCAAGGAGATCTCTGTGACTTATTATTTTGGAGGTAAACTATGGTTTAGTGTGACATCTGAACCATAGGGTACCTCTCTGCGATAAGTAAAAGCTAATGGAATTTCTTTTGTTCTCTGTAATTTCAGAAATTATATATGGGATGTCCAGTTATATAACCAGGGAAGATCAGTACAACAAACCACAGCACAAAAAAATCAAAGACAGACAAATTGATCGCCAAAACCGTTTGAACAGCCCTCCTTCGTCCATCTACAAGAGCCACCTAGGAAACTGTACGCCGGTGTACAATGGTACCATCAAAACTCACAATGGAGCTGCAAATGGGGGAGGAGGAGGAGTTGGAGGAGGAGGCATGCCTGCCATGAAAAAATCTGAACGCAGAGCAAGAAGCAGCCCAAAATCAAACGAGCAGGATTTGCACGGTAAAGTTCACCCATGCGTTTTTAAAACTCCTTTCTAAGATTTTCAGGATTTATTTAAAAACATAGTCCGGGGTGAGATAAGTACGTTGAAAGGCCATAGATGCAGTGCATGTGGAGAGACCATATAGACTGCAGGGCTGTGGCTAAGCATTCTTGTGTTCTGAAGGTTTATTTTTGAAGAAGCCATGTATTACTAGGAGATATATATATATATATATATATAAGTAGCCTTTTAGCTCAGGGGAAGCACCATGCAAAAAATGACAGAGAAACTTCATGTGCATAAGTTCCCAACTTTCAACTTTTCTGGCATTTTCAGGGAAACAGACCAGGTAACTATGATAGAGAAGGCATTTTCCAAAGAGTCCTCCACCAGTTAGAGTAGACAAGAATAGGTTAACTAGTCTGCTCTCATAGACAGTTGCTTCCCATATTCTTGTTTAATGGCAACGCCACTAGCACCATATTCTGCTAATTTTTGCCATTCCGCTGAGTTTTGCTCTTCCTTACACATGTTTCTAAATGGCAAAAAGAAGCTCATCCTAGAAGGGTGAAGATTGTTGTGGAGGCTTGAAGACTAGAAACAAACAGTAAAGCTCAGAAAAGAAAAAGATCTGTTCCATTTAGGAGCCAAAATAAGCTTATTGAGTGAAATCTGGTGCTTTTTAGACATATTCATGGCATAAGAGTAGCTGGTAGCCATGAAGTGATGCCCAGTTATCACTCAAGTCCAGCTGTGTTGTATTATTTACATTTTGTTTATGTCATGTGGCGGCTGAAATTTGCCATAATGTGATTTGGACGACTTGCAGTAACATCAGCTTGTTGTTATGCGCAGACCTTGTCCTCCAAACTGCAGCCAATTGGACCCTTCACTAAAGCAGTGCTGGAGGTTTATGAATTGTTTTTGTCCCTGGTAAAGCATAAGTACTTGGCTTTTATGCAAATTCCTGGGGAATTTCGTAGATGAATGTTGAGTCCACCTTTCTCCCCCTCTTAATACATCAGAACAATATTTTAATCAGGTTTTGCCTGTCTTTGGATATGCTTTTGCCCTGGTTTGTGGAGGACAAATGATGGTAGTTTAAGAAATCATTTTAGACTCCTTTAGCACACAGTATATTTTCTTACAAAGGCAAATAGGCAGACTGAGAAGCTGTTTGTTTGTTACATTGTTCAGCTGCCCAATAACTGAAGTTCTGTCAATAATGAGTAACTAGACTAAACTATGTGATAAAAAGATAAAAGATAGAAAACCAAGAATAAGGTAAAGGCAAAGGTTCCCCATAACATTTAGTCCAGTCATGTCCAACTCGAGGGGGTGGTGCTCATCCCTGTTTCCAAGCCATAGAGCCAGCATTTGTCCGTAGACAGTTTCCGTGGTCACTTGGCCAGCGCGACTAGACATGGAATGTTGTTACCTTCCCACCGTGGTGGTATTTATCTACTCACATTTCCATGCTTTTGAACTGCTAGGTTGGCAGGAGCTGGGACAAGCAGTGGGAGCTCCCTCCGTTGCGTGGATTCGATCTTACGACTGCTGGTCTTCTGACCCTGCAGCAGAGGCTCCTGCGGTTTAACCCGCAGTGCCACCACATCCCAGAAAACCAAGAATAAGGCAGTGTAAAACTAAAGTAAAAGCAGTAGAAAAGGATAAAACTCTAAATCAGATTCTAAACTCTAAATTTCAGAATCACTGTTTAGAGAATGACTGTTCATCGTTCACATGGAGGTAGACTATGCTGACATCTCCTACCTGATTATATACTGCTTACCTATAGAGATGGGCATAAACTTCTGGTTCAGTGGTTCGTGCTGGTTCGTTTAACAGCCGATTTTGGCAGGAGGATGGGAGAATCACATCCATATATACACAGGAGTGCGTGCATGTTTCTTTTGTCACCTTCCAGATCTGCACCCACTTCACCATCAGAAGAGATGAAAGGAAATACTTTGAAGCCAGCAACTACATTACAGCTTCCTTTTTCCCAGACACAACACACTTGCTTAAGCCATGCAGTTAAAGAGATAATGGAGGCATTAAGCAAATAAAGTGCCTAGACAATGGTTTGGTTGGTACCTCTTCTGTTTGCTTGTGCACATGAAAATTGCTCAGATTGTCCGGTGTTTGGACAAGCTGTGCAAGGAAGGCACAACTGGTACACCACTAAGTGTGCTGTGTTTTTAAAATGGTATCTGATACAATTGTGTGTGTATGTTCTGTGCTGCCAAGTTGGAACCAACTTATAACGACCCTAATCGGGCTTTCAAGGTAAGTGAGATATTCAAGGAGTGGTTTTACCAGTTCCATTCCCCCAGTGAGCTTCCATGGCCAAGTGGGGATTTGAACCCTGTCCTCCATAGTCCTAGTCCATCACTCTATCCACTACACCAGTGGTCCTCAACCTTGGGCCTCCAGATGTTCTTGGACTTCAACTCCCAGAAATCCTGGCCAGAAGAGGTGGTGGTGTAGGCTTCTGGGAGTTGTAGTCCAAGAACATCTGGAGGCCCAAGGTTGGGGACCACTGCACTACACAACACTGGGAATACCCAATGTATCTTATATTACTGGGCCAACAAAGCTCAGGGAGGAAGAAAGCTGAAAACCATTAGCCATTTCTTGAAATAGCAACTCTGCCTAAAAGTTGAGAAACATACTTTTTTTTTTGAATACAGCTCCCAGAATCTGCCAATCATTGCTGGGGGACACTGGGAAATGTAGTTCTGATTCAGCTAGTGATTTTGCTGTGTATATTTATGCTAGAGAATTAAACAGATTTTGTTGTTATTTTCTATGCCTTTGGGAGCTGGCTTGATAGCTCAGTGGTTTAGACATCTGGCTGCGGAGCCAGAGGTTAGTAGTTTGATTCCCCACTATGTCTTCTGTGAGCGCAGCCAGCCTGTGTGGCCTTGGGCAAGCTACAACAGTCCCAGGGTACTCCAGGAAGAACAGAATGGTAAACCACTTCTAAGTATTCTCTGCCTTGAAAACCCTGAAAAGGGTCATTATAAGTCAGAATTAACCTGATGGCACATTATTATTTTTATTCAAAATATACCAGACACAGTCCATAAAAGTTATAAAAACATTGACTGGCATTATATAATAAATATGTTTTAACCAAAAACTGAAGTATCTGTTAAAATATTGACTGCTGCCGCCTTTGGGAGCACCCCAAGTACAGTTCCATGAAGGGGAGCAGAATATATCTGTAAAAAGCAGAATTTTCATCAATTCTTGTCAACCTGAAGTTCTGGAAAATGCCATTATAGAGTTTTATGAAGCTGCTTGGTGTTCATATTGTTAGAACTGTTCTCCCTTGGGAAGTCGAAACCTACCAGTACGTCATCTGGTGAAACAGGAATAATAATAAGCTTCCTCACTGGGCTATTGGATAAAACAAGCAGACAGACGTGGTGGAAGGTAGTTTCCTTCCTGTTAGTAACAACAGAAGCCGGGATCCATTTTGCAGAGTAGACCCATTAAATCAATTGCTGGATGGTGAGTAAACACTTAAGCCAATCAGTTACCGTATTCAGTGGTTTGAATACCCAGTTGGATTCAGGCCAAAAGCTGTTTGTTTGCTTTTGTTTATTTCTTTGTTTTGGGGTTTATTTGTCCTTGTAAACCTGTTACTGAGTGGCACGCAGGATATCCTAATACTGATATCAGGGATGGATTGAATCCTAAGGTGTAGTTAAGGGACAGCTCACAGGTGTGTGGACATTGCATAGTGTTAGAAGACGTTGCTGCAGATGTCACTGTTCCAGGGGCCTTCTTCTCTTTCTGATTGTGTAGATGATCCAGTAGCACACCTGTTCCTGGGCTTACAATGCTCCCCTTTGTTTCTGGTGGTGATGACTCACATCAATAAGGTCCTGTAGGTCAGCGCTACAAAGGTTTCCCTTTCTTGTCTCCCCTCTTCCCTCCACCTTGAAAATCTTTGGCCTTGTCTGCTGATTCCAGCCTCTTGTTTTTAAAGCTAAAGTTTCAAGTACACAAATGAACGTGTTCTCTTTTAGAATTATTTCTCTCTCTCTCTCCAAACTAGAAGAGTCACCGACTTCTCCCTTCTTTAAAGGAAAATAGCACACACCGGCATTTATTTACTTTAGCCTCTCGTAACAATGTGCGCCTGTGAATCTGCTTTTGGAAATTTATTGATAATAAGTTGAAGCCAGCAAACTGTGCCATGATTTTGCTTTAGTTTAGTTTTTGCTTACCAAGTTCCTTTTCTTTTTAACCCATATTGTCCAACTCTAGCTCAATATTTATGCTGCAAAATATGTTGTTATGTGCCTTGAGGTTCGTTCTGAGTTGCAGCTGACCTATGAACTAATGGCCTCTGAAGGGTCCTCTCATTAACAGACCTGCTCAGGTCTTGCAGGCTCAAGGCTATGGCTTCCTTTATTGAGTCAATCCATGTCATGCTCAGTCTTCTTCTTTTCCTGCTGCCTTCTAACTCATTATTCCATGAGCATACCAGGCAAAACTAGCTCTCCTAGTTTTGCCTGGTATGAATTCCTTGGAAAATTAGCTCTCCTAGAGAACTGGATGAGTTCCTTGGAGCTTCAGACCTTCAAAAGCGACCAGTATTAACATGTGGGGTTAGTTCAGCTGCCTTTATTTTTATGCATCTATATCTAAATTCTCCCTCCCCCCCTCTCTCTCTTAGGGGAGTGGCAAGTGTAACTAGACACGGAACGCCATCACCTTCTTACCGAGGTGGTACCTATTTATTGTCTGGCAACTTTGAACAACATGAATTGAGAGGAACAGGTGGAATGGGTAGCTGATTTCTGGGAAAAATTTCTGGGAGTAATGTTCCAAGGAGTATCATGGTCCTAAACAGTTAAGGGCTTTATAGGTCATAAATATCATCTTGAATTGAGTATGGGAATTGACAGGGAGTCAATGAAGGCATGCGAAGAATGGGGATACATGATTGCATTTACTAGTCCCAGTAGTCAGCCTGACTGACGCAGATGGATGGAGGGGT